ACCAACAAACCAGATGGAGGATCATGTAAATTTGATGAACTTGAACCGTTCACTGATTATAACTGTGAAGTCCAACCCCTCTACAAGAATGAAGAGGTTTCTGGTCAAAAACTGTGACGGTGAAAACAAAACCTGGAGGTAAGATTCCAAAATACACCAACAATATAAACATGTTGAAATGCAGTTTTATTCAATTGTTCATGTATTATTTTGTACAGTTGTTTAATTTTACTAACAAAGTTTTTTTTGTCCAAAAACACTGAAAACTTATTGTTTTACCCAGAAACATGAACTCAGTTTAAACTTCAGAAACTTAAGTTTAAAAAGTATTGTATTGTAATTAAAAGCAAAATTTGATTTAACCAAAATTATACATATTTCATTACGTTGTCTATATATTTGTGTTTTTAAACCAAATAAAAATAAATCTAGTTAAGTCTTTAAATAAATACAAATTTGAATGTAAAACTATTTACACACACACACACACACACATACACACAAATAAATGTTTCCGTTTTTTATTAAAACACTGTTAATTAAAAGCAAAATTTGATTAAGTGAATTAAGTGAATGCTTCAATAAAATCTGCAATCAAATTTATGACCATTTAACTCTTTATGCTACATTTACTGTTGTACACAAGATTTGTATTTTACAGCTTCATTTTCTGCTTTGCTTTATTACATTTAATGACTTAAGGATTTGTTATTGCATGCATATTGTCACCTCATGTCACCGATTCTGAATCGGTGAATGTTCTTTAAAGATAAAAACATGAGTATTTTTCTCCAAGGAATATGATAGTTTCCAAAACTAACAGCCAGTCTTGATACAAAGAATACATTTTACTGACTTTAATGCCTGTGCAATAGGAGCCTCTTGTGTTTGAGTTTCGTCAGGAGACAGATGTGAGAGCATGTCATGCTCCCATCCATGAGAAGACACAAGTGGCTCCTGATTATGGCTTAATTAGCTTGTGTACCCGGCGGACATTACTGCAGAGGCTGGGAATTGGGTACTTGATGGACCCAAACATGACATCTTGAAACAATCACACTGCTCAGTGCACGGTGCTGTGGCTGCTTGACGTCTGACTCCTCTGCTCCTCCTCCCTCTGCTCTCCCACCCAGGTATCCAACTGGTTTGGCAACAAAAGGATCCGGTACAAGAAAAACATCGGCAAGTTTCAGGAAGAAGCCAACCTGTACGCCGCCAAGACAGCTGTTAATGCAGCGCACGCTGCAGCCGCTGCAGTGCAGAACAGCCAGGCCAACTCCCCTACCACTCCCAACTCCGGTAGGCACTCCTGCATATAGATGGAAAATGTATAAAGATCTGCCCTCAGCCTCAGTCCTTAACCTGATGCCTTCTCGCCTCAATCTTTGACGCACCATTCACACTGGCAAGAGTGACAGGCTCTGCTCCCAGCTTAGGGATCACGGTGTCTCCTGTCTATAAGACAGTTGATGCCAAGCAAACTCATGCATAAAGAGAGCGTTCCTGACTTGTGAACCGAGAACACATGTATTTTGGGGAGGATAAGAAAAAAAGAGAAAGAATTTAAAATGATTCCATGGGATTTGTTTTCCCTTGACTTTCTGTCAGCTCCCTGTCATTTGTAAGGTAATGGTATGTAGTCCCACTGAATGCTTGAAGATTTTTCTCTTCAAAACAAAGTGAAACATAATTAAATACATGCTGCTCATACCTAATATTATTAAACATGGAGCTGAAAAGGTCCAGTTTAATTGTTTTGCTGAGATTGGATTAGGTTGATCTGCGTCGGGATGTGGTAAGCTTATGAAGTGGTCCCTTTTTCTTGCACCCAGGATTCCAGATGAAAGATGAAGAGTTTCAGCTGGATTCTGCAGAGAGCAAAAACACTCTATTAAGCAACATGTTTACTGGTACTGGTCTTTTCATAAGCTTCTTATTGTCTTTGTCATTTGCCATTATGATGCCTCCCTGTCAGCTTTAGACTGGAAGTAGGTGATGTGGAACAATTGGGAGCTTAAGCGACCAACCACATGTAGAACCCGGTCCCTGTGTGTCATGTGATTCTCATTTCATTTGTGTTCACGACATCCGTTGATAGATTTTTAGTCCCCTGCATATTGTCCTCCTTCGTTTGGCTCCTTGCTTCCCTTCCTTTACCCTTGTAGTTGCCTGCTCTGTGGGAGTTCTTCTTCTGTGTACTTGTCTGCTTGAGTTGGGTTTGTTTTCACAGACACACATGTGCTGTGTGTCTGTGCTCCTTTGTGCGTGGGCGCGTGTGTCTGTGCTTTCCCTTTATAGCCCTCTCATGTATTTAGCTGCTTACATCTTCCCTTTCCAGGTTCTTCAGGTTCTTTTAGCCTCCCAAACACTGGGGACATGTTCTTGAGCATGCAGAGTCTGAATGGGGATTCTTACCAAGGGGCACAAGTCGGAGCCAATGTACAGTCACAGGTAGGATCAACAATGGGGGACAGTTTGTCAGAACCTCTGCAGAGAACTGTCCTTGTCTTGCCTGTGTCCTGAGCCATCCACAGTGCAGTCTGAAGCACGTCAAAACCAAAAACTAGAAACAAATAATAATAAAAAAAGAAACATGCTGCTCAAGCGAGGGCAGTTCAAATTACCAAGTGAGGCCTCCAATAACATCGACTGTATGAAGTGTTTACTGACTATTTCGCTTTGGATGGAATATTTTGGCAGCCAAAATATAATCCACTGCTATCATGCCTGGAAGCAATTTCCTGGTGCTGAACTTTGTTGTGAATGCATTTGGCTTTGACTTGAGCTCTTGGGTTGGTATTGGGGTCTTTTTGGTACTATGTCCCTTCCCCCTGCTTTTTTGTCTAAACGCTGAATTGCTGTCTTTCTTGTTTCATCATGTTATTGTTTGTTGTCAATGTCTTCCATCTTGTGAGTTTATTGCTGCTGAGTTACACACTCCGCACACTAGCCACCCAGTGCCTGTTTAAGACAATAATAGACCTTTCTTATTAAAAAACAGCCACACAAATTATGCTTTTTAAAAATTTTACTTATGCTTTCATCTTTTGTTTATTAGCACATAGCCTATATTAAAGAAAAGAACAGATCGAAGCATGCTTGTAACTTTAGTTTATTTATTTATTTATTTATTTATTTATTTATTTATTTATT